CCCCTCCGCCCCCCCCCCCCCCTCCCCCCCCCTCCCCCCTCCTCCCCCGAGTGAAACTCGGCTCGACCGAGCGAGTTGGCAGCCCCACTTCAGACCGGCCATGGGATTCGCGGAACGACTGCCCACACAGAACCCATGCCAATCCCATCCCCGTCCGAAGACATTCCTCGGAGAAGAACAAAAGACAGCCCTCGAATCCCGACGAAGTTGCAAAAGCATCCCCGATATACAGTCCCGGCGAGGAATGAATGATCCTTCCAGTCGCGAAGAAAAGACGAATCGCCCGTCTATCTTCCTCCGAGCGATCCCCCATTGTCCCCCTTATCGCTGACACCCTCACAAAAGGACACCAGAAAGTCGATCGCCTCTCGCCCCCACCCCCCCAGACACACAACCCTCCACCCCCAACTCCCCCAACGCCAACCGCCCACCACGCACCTCCCACGCCCCGGGGACGTTCCACGCCTCGACCACTCACACCCCCTCGTGGGAAGACCCTAAAACGTGCGTTTCCCCCCCGCTGGAAAACTCTTCCTGCCCCCTCCCCCCATCTTAGTCTCAACCCTTTCGCAGGGGAAACTGAGCATCGATCGAGCAACGTCTCCCTCCTAAGTGCAACGAGTTTTTTTTTCCCTCCCACATTTACAGCCGCCTGTCGGCACGTGAAGGATCTACATGGAGAGCACTTCGAAGCCGAGCGTGTGAGAATAAGCCTCCTCTCCTACACACGAGGCCAACGCAAAATCACAACGAAAATCCCCAAACAATAATCTAAATCCTTTCCGAATTTTCCTTTAACGCATTTCTCGTAAATGAAACGGATTTTTTTCTTTCAGGAGTCTCTTCACCTGTGAAGCCTTCGGTGAACCCGACCCAATCCGACACGACCTTCCTCTGCTCTCTGCATATGGACTTCCTCGGTGAATCTGGGATCTAGCGGGATCTCGAGTGTGGAGGGAACGATACCAGGTAGCTTGCTTTGTCATTCAGGGAAATAGATTAAGAGCCTCATAAATAATGGAGTGAGTAGGGTGAGTAGGAAATTTGGGTTCTTTCCTCCTCATGACGTCAGATGAATATCCTCTATTCCCTTTGTCTTGGGAACTTAACTTGATGCTGGAAGTGGATGCTTTCTCCCATCTTCTGTGCACCTGCTTCTTTGAGTGGCTCTGATCCTGCACCAATCGATAATGGAAAAAGATGATTGTCAGAGGCTCGGAAAGATGGAGCAGGAATGTTGCTAAACGACCTCATGAATGGCGCCGCCCGCAGACCCACGCGGTTCTCACGTGTGCCGCGTCCTTGCGATGCGATAGGCTAATTAGCGCTGGAATCCTCAGGAATCTCAGCAGTCTCTAACCTTGGGGCGAGGACAGCACCCAGGCTCTTCGGCCTGTGTAGGCAGGGGTCTCGTTCGGATTTTTCCCCCCCCAACGTGAGGAGTTCGAGCCTACAGAGGAAGATGCGGTTGCTTCAGTATACGGTGAAGGGGAGCAATTTGAGGAAGGTCGGGGCGTTGCTGAAAGGAGGAGAAAAATTAGTGGATGTTAGCAGTCGTCTTCCCGGGACGCCATCCTTTCTGAAGACCATTCTTGAAACTGTATCCTTCCCGCAATTGAAGGATACTGTGGACAGGTGGGCAGCTTACCAGTCCACCCATTGAGCTATTGTCAGGCTTAGGCCTTTTTTGAACAGCTAACTTAGGCTGAAAAGTAATAGCTCCACCAAACGATCTTTTGCTCCATATTCCTCTGGTTCCACCAATCATCCCCCCCTGAAAGATTAAAAAAAAAAAAGAACTTATTCTTGCTTACCTCACAGACCAAATGAGTTGTTTGCTGTTTGGCCAAAAAAGTGGGTGAAGTAGGTTGGCCATCAGTCTTAGCCAGACCATTTTTCTCCTATTTCTTAATCTCAATGGCTATTGGTGTATCTCAGCTTTTTCACTGTTTCTCAATGGAATCTGCAGAAAATTCCTGTGGGAGGCATGTGCTAGATCACAAAGAGCAGAAAGCTTGTATGTGATATATAGGAAGGATTCCCTCCAGACAACTAGAATATATGGTCACATGAGCTCTTGGCTGAGTATATGTAAAAGGCTCTTTTAATGGAATCCAGCCCTGGATTTTTTTAAAAACCATTCTTCCCATTCCATTTACATTTCATAACATGAGGGAATTAAGCCTAATGTTTTTTTCTATAACTTTCTATCTATCATGAGATGCATGGACATCAAACCCTTCCAGCATGGGACCAATCAGCATTTCTTTAACACAGTTCTCTATGAAGTCATTCAATGGAAGGCAGTATTATACCTGTTGAAATAGTTAATTCTATAATTGTCTTGTCCTGTTCTGCTATAATTGGGTTTTGTTTTATATTTTCATGGTTGTGATTCCTGGCCATGTCCTTTATTAACCATGATTCCAGGCTTAGCTAATGGATAAATTTGGTCTGGCTCAGAAAGAATGTCTTAATCCAGGAATGTCATACTCAAATTGGTTGGTGGGTTGCATCCATAGGATCATGTGTGGAGGGTGCTGAAAGTCAATCCAGGTGGAAATTGCAAGAACAGATAGCAAGCCAGATGAACAGCCTCAGTTGGCCATATGATTGACACCTGTCTTATTTGATTTGATTCCATTGATAGGTGACAGAGTAGGCCAAGGCCAAGGTTATGGCTTCCAAACATGACTTACCTGCCATCCATGTGTAAATCACTTGTTTGGATTCTGAGCATTATTAGAAGCCTCCCAGAAGGTAGAATAATTTTAAAATATATAAAAACAGAAGAATAAAGAAATTTTCTAATTCGAAAACCTTGAATTCATGCTCTCAAGCTCACACTTCAATGTGTATACATGTTGGCACATTGATACAGTTCCATTCTGCTATCAAATAAGAATGTGGTGGTTGATGCTCTTCCAAGCCCATGAGGTACACAGCTGGGGCTCCCATGGTCCCAAATTGGAAACCCTTGACCTTCATGATAACCAGTCATGCAGATGATATGATCATGCATGGTAGACCTAGCATGTGCTTGGGCTTGTTGCATTTCCAGCATTACTGTTGTCATCTCATTTTAGGGCTTCACAAGAAGGACCATTGGTCTCAGCATCAGAAGTGCAACTTTTGGCTCCCATCTCTTTACCTGATAAGGTTATTTGCATTGGTTTGAATTACTTGGCTCACTGTCAGGAACAAAATGCTCGCCCACCCAGAGTACCTGTGATTTGCAGCAAATGGGGAAGTTGCATAGTTGGACCATATGATGAAATCTGCTACCCTTCAATCACAGAGGTAATGTTCTAATGATCTATTTGATGTTTTTTGAATCCCATGGAATGGAAGAGCATCTTACAGGGTGACCCAAAAAAAACCATACAGAGCTCGTTTTTGGGAGAGAGCTGGGAGGAGGTCATTTTCAAAGTTTGGTATTTTTTTTTTAGGTCACCCTGTATATCATAGTAGTCTGATCTGTTTGGTAATTTTTATATGACAGGCAGTCATGTTATGGTGAGATTGGGACATTTTTTAAGATTTTAATATTGTGTTGGCTCCAAAATATTGTGTTAGACTTGAGATGTGATTCCCCTACTCCCCCCCTTGTGGTTTTTCTTTAGCTTGACTTTAGCTCTGTATTACTGAGCCTGATCAACTTTGGGATGGCAACCTTTTGTTTGTACTTCCCTTATGGTTCTGCCTTATAGAACATCTTATTTATAGTGTGCTGAGTAAAGAGCATGCCTTACTCTATGGTTTGAGTTTCCATGGCTTTCCATGCTCTTGGTGCTACAGTAACATCTGCTTTATGATAGGAAGATTTCATTATGCTGTTTGACAAGTTGCTAGGTGTGTAAAAAATCATAATGGATTCTATGCATAGTGTTTGTAAATTCAACTCAAAGTAATTGTGGTTTGGCTGAGCTTGATAGCATTATTTTTTTAATCTGTTATTTATGATCTGTTCTCACAGTAAAGCCCAAGAGAAATCAGATATGCAAGTAAATTATTTAAGCTGGAGCATGCATGCATATTTCCATGATATTATATGTTGTCAGGGAAAAATAATTTCATCCATTTTAATTTGATTGCTACATACACATTAATGATGAACTCATGCTAGTTGGATGATTATATTTAAATCTTTGCAATGATCAAACACATTTCATTTCAAGGAAATACAATACATATTTATTACACAATATTTTGATTGTGGCATGAGGTTCAAAATCATGGTTGTGCAGCTTGGTTTTATATTAAATGCTGGGCTAAGCTCCTTTCTAGCTATGTCTTGGAGAGATTGAGCTGTGGTGGGCTTGTCTTATGCTTGTAAAAGCAGATGAGGGCACATTGAGCAGCACTTTTAATATTTTTTTAATATCAATACTAACTTGGCCTAATACTATTTTGCCTGTTTCTATCACTTTGAAGAATGTTTTTTTTTTTTTAAATACCCAAGAAATTGAGCATGTTGATCCTAGCATGTTAAGGTAACAATATTCATGCAGCTGCAATATTCTATCTCATGTCACAATTAAAAGTTATTTTGCATAATTATTTGTTTTAAATCCTTGGAGGGAATTACATTAGATCAGGGATGAGTGATTCTAATGATGCTCCAAATTGCATGAGCAAGAATTACACAGAGTACACAGGGTACAGAAGAAGCAGCCATATGAAAAAGGGTGACATTTTTTTACCTACTGTGTATTTATACAGTTAACAAAAAAATTATTGATGGTGAATATGCTAATACTTGCATCTCCAAAGGCATGAATTTAGAACAGGAACAAAAATCATCACCAAATTTTAAAATATTTTGATCATATTTTAAGAAATCAGCGTTCATCATCAGAAAAGAATAGAATGCATCATTAAAAAGAATAATGTGGAATGAGCATTTCTGAGGTTTTAGCAGCAAACACTGCCACCACTGTGCATTATACTGTTACCAGAACCTCAAAACTGAACAATTTGGAGATACATGGTCTTGTATCTTCACCATTGATATATTGTTAATTGAAAATGAGTTCCATTTTCACATAGATGATAGCACTGTAAAAGTGGGGGATGAATTCAGTTCGAGTGTAGTTCATTCAGAGAAGGAAGAACAAGAGGAGCAGATAAGGATATACAAAGAAGTCATTTTGAGTCTCGAGGTTAATGAGTCGGAAAGATTGCCAGTACTCTTGTGTGACACTTATCTGTACATTGCCTTCCTAATGGATGCTTTTCCTTCTCTGTACTTTTTGTCAACTTGTCAAGCCAGGCAACAGATGAGGGTCATCATGACAGTCACATTAGGTAAATGGAAGGACTCAACTCATTCTTGATTCCCTAAATGAACTTAGCTTGTATTAACTTTCATCAGGGCCACAGAATTAGTCTAATCATTCTTAATATTCATTGCAGCAATTGGATTATGAAGTGGAGTTGGCGTTTGTCATCGGGCGCCAGGGGAAGAGCATCAAGGAGTCAGATGCAATGGAATATGTGCTTGGGTACACTGTCGCCCAAGATGTGAGTGCTCGAGACTGGCAGATGAAGAAGAATGCCCGACAGTGGCTCTTGGGGAAGAGCATGGATACATTCTGTCCCATGGGCCCAGTCTTGGTGACTCAGGATGAAATTCCCGATCCTCACAACTTGGGCATACGGTGTAGGGTGAATGGGATTGTGAAGCAAGACAGCAACACCAACAATCTCATCCATCGAATACCTGCACTAGTTGCTTTTGCCTCCAAGTAAGTCAGTTTCCCTCCCAGCCTAGCATATTTGAGGAAAATTCCTTTCATTAGCATAGCAGTGATGGTTTTGATAGAAAGAGCATAAAATTCACAGGAGAAAAAACTGGCTTTGATGTCTGGGAAAATGGGAGAAAAATTTATTCCATGCCATTTAAATATTTCTTGTTGTATAGTGGTGATTTATGATCTTTCTGAGTACAGTCATGATGATGACTTCACCCATTCCAAAATTGTCTTTCAGATTCTTCACCCTTCTCCCTGGTGATGTTTTTATAACTGGAACACCTCCTGGAGTAGGTATATTCAAGCAACCACCTGAACTTCTAAAGGTTTGTTACCAGTACCAATTTTTAAGTTTGATGGTATACCTCTGGTGCATCATGCACTCTAAGCCCTTCATTCCCTTGTGTTGGCAGAAAGGAGACATTGTGGAGAGCGAGATAGATGAAATTGGTTGTCTGAGGAATAAAGTTGTTTGAGTCATGGTCAGCCAAGTGTCCATGGTTCAAACAATTGAAGAATTCTGTCCTTGACACAGATAATCATGTTGCTTCTGAGTTGGGTACAATTCCAGGAGTGAACGATTTGAAGAACCTCAAACTACTGTTGGAAATGTTTGCATTTATGGCTTTTGAGATTATACAACTGTCTTGCAGGACATTAATCCATTGCTGTGATGAAGTTTGAAATCTCATAATTTTCTCATCTGTTTCTTTCAATACTGCTCATCCAGTCACTATCTTCAACCCATATTCATGGGCGGTTTCTGTTTGAGAAATTCATATTTGCTTGTTTCCACTGGTTGTAAAAAAGAAAGTTCTGTAGCTTTTCTGACCCATTAGGGCATCAAAATAAAACATTGGTGAAAATGCCTTTTTGGAAACTCATTATAAACAATGAATTTCCAAACCATCTACAAGAGGACCAACCAAAAAAAATTAATCTAAATGGAAGAGTTCAAAAAGGTCTCAATTACCAGGAGAGACAGCACACCCAGGTGTTTCCTCCACTCCACTGCCAGAAAGAGTTCTTGTCCTTTCTCAATGTTAAATCTCTTTTCAATAATTTTATGTTTATAGTATCGCTTCAGTCCAACAAATCTGTTTGAAATTTTGAGAATGAGTCAGAAACATGTTCTTATAAGCAAAGTGAAAGTATCACATGAATAGCTCCATTGTTAGCTGAAATATTAAGGTTAAATATCATTGTTACTACTGAGACATGTTAAATGTCAAAGAGCCTACAGTCATATGATTGTAGGCTCTGATTTTTAAACTCATGCAAAAACTGTCTGCATTGTGAGATACAGGAATTGAAAGAGATTTATTTTCTGACTAAAGGTTCAAGGAGTAATTTCCATGTATGGAAATCATGAAAAGAATGAATCATGAAGCTGAATAAAATATTTACTACAAAAACATTTCAAGCTCATTCAAGAAAATTGGTACAGTGCTGTAAGTGTACAGCAATGTTGCAGGCTCGAGAAAAATATCAATCCTGCAGTCACAGGTACTGGGAAACTTGGAAATTGTTGGATGTACAAGTTGAAGCTTCAATTGGTTCAATGGTTTGCTTTCACTTCTTGTCATCCAAAGAAATTTGAGGGAACTATCATATCTGTAGGGTGGTGTGTTAGACAAAGGTAAAGATGATTTTGACAGAATTTGAAGAATAATACAAAGTCTCCAGCAAAGTCGCACTAGGAAATAACATCATTTTATATGATAAGCATCAATTGATTATGCCTATTTGAAGAACTTGCATGCTGTTGCTGCTAGGATCATGAAGTACAGGACGAAGGGGTGAAGAAGAATCTGAATCTGTTCACAATTTTCCTTAAATCCATTTCTCGTAAATGGAACAAGGTTTTTCGAGTCTCTTGACCTGCGAAGCCTTCGGTGAGAAGCACCTGACCCAATCCAGCACGACTTGACTCAACCCGCCTCTGCTCTCTGCGAATTGACTTCCTCGACGAACCTGGGACCTCGCGGTATCTCTAGTGTGACGGGAACGATACGATGGAGCTTGTTTTGTCATTCAGAGAAATGGATAAATAATGGAGTGAGTAGGGTGAGCAGGAAATTTGGACTCTTTCTCCTCATTACGTCAGATGAATATCCTCACTTTGAATTCCCTTTGTCTGAAGAACTTGTCTTTGTGGAAGTTCTTTCCTCCTTCAGTGAACCTGCTTCTTTGGATGGCTCAGAAACTGCACCAATGGATAATGGAAAAAGATGATGGTCAGAGACTTGGCAAAACAGAGCAGGGTAAGGTCCAATGAACTCTTGAATGGCGCCGCCCGCAGACCCACGCGGTTCCCACATGTGCCGCGTCCTTGCGATGCGATAGGCCACCTGGCGCAGGAGTCCTCTGGAATCCCAGTAGCCACTAACCTTGGGGTGAGGACAGCGCCCAGGCTCTTAGGCCTGTGTAGGCAGTGGTCTCGTAGGAATTTTTCCCCCCTGGCGTGCGGATAGGAGTTCGAGCCTACAGAGGAAGATGCGGTTGCTGCAGTATATGGTGAAGGGGAGCAATTTGAGGAAGGTCGGGGCGTTGCTGAAAGGAGGAGAAAAATTAGTGGATGTTAGCAGTCGTCTCCCCGGGACGCCATCCTTTCTGAAGACCATTCTTGAAACTGTATCCTTCCCACAACTGAAGGATGATGTGGACAGGTGGGCAGCTTACCAGTCCACTCATTGAGCTATTGTCAGGATTAGGCCTTAGTTATCTGCTGTCATGAGGCAGGGACATGCATCCACTAAATGTACTCGTGCATCAATTTCCTCTGGTTCTACCTATTATCACCCCTCTAATGCTTTACCTTCCAAAAAAAACTCATTCTTCATAACCTCACAGGCCAAGTTAGTAGTCTTTGCTTGCTGTTTGGCCACAAGATTAAAGTAGGGTTGAGTCAAAAAAAAAAAGTATATATATCGTTGAATCATGGATTGGTTCATATTGACTTGAAAGTTGGCCTTCAGTCTTGGGTCAAATTATTCACATACTATTTTCACCTTAATGGCTTTTGGTGCATCTGTTTTGCACAGACTCCCTTGGGAATCTGAAAACTTTTGAAAGGAGGCTTGTGCTGCAGCATGAAGAGAGCAGAAAACCTATTATGTAATGTGTAGGAAAAAGAAGTCCCTGCTGTCTTGCCACCTACTCTTCCCTAAATTGAGCATGGCTATTTATGACAGCCAATATTAACTTTTTACCCTCACATATCCAGTAGCTCAAAGCTGTAGGACATCTCTCCTGTCAATACAACTTGGAGTCTTAGAACACCAGGAGCTGTATTTTATATATACTCCAAGAGATATTCTTGCATCCAGCTGCAATTTAGCTAATTGAAGTACTTAGTTTTTTGAAGAGCTTTTTGCTGAGTATTTGTTTAAGACTCTTATGAAGTGGAGCCCCATATCTTTTGGAAACCTTTGCATCTCATTCTATTATGATTCTGTTCCATTCCAGTCATAACATGAGAAAATGCTTAAGCCTTATGATGATTCGCATAATCTCCTATTTATCATGAGATGCATTGACATCAAACCCTTCCAGCATGGGATCTATTTGCTTCTCTTAACATAGTTCTCAATTAAGAGTTTCAATGGGAAGCTGTCTTCTACCTGTTAAAATAGTTAGGGATAAAATTTTCTTGTCCTGCTCTGCTGTGATTGGGTTTTGTCTTGTATATGCATGGTTTTGATTTCTTTCTCATGCCCTTTATTATGCATGGTTTCAGGCCAAGCTCATAAATAAATTTTGTCTGGTTGAGTGTGCCTTTATCAGTTCAATTCTATTGATGGAAGCCATGAAGTAGGCCTAGTTCAATGTTAAAGGTTCCAAATATGACTAACCTGTCAGGATTCTAGGCATCATTAGGAACCTCCTGGGAGGCTTCTAGCTAGAAGGTAGAATAATTTTTAAAATGTATACAGAGAGAAGGACAAATTCTTGCAATTCAAAACCTGATATTCATTGCTCTTGTTCACACTTCAATAGTTATGCATATTTCCACATAGATACAGTTGCATTCTGCTATCAGATAAGAATGAGGTGGATGGTGCAGTTCCTCCTAGCAACTGAGGTCCATACCTGGGACTCTCACGGCTCACTAATTGGAAACCCTTGACTTTCATGATAACCAGTCATGCACCTGATGTGACCATGCATGGTAGGCCTCTTTGGGCCTCACGTAAGCTCCAGCACATGCTTGGGCTTATTGTGTTTTCAGCATTGCTATTGTCATTTCATTGTAGGGCTTCACAAGAAGGACCATTGCTCTCAGCATCAGAAGTGCAACTTTTGGCTCCCATCTCTTTACCTGATAAGGTCATTTGCATTGGCTTGAATTACTTGGATCACTGTCAAGAACAAAATGCTCCACCACCCAAAGAACCTGTGATTTTCAGCAAATGGGGGAGTTGCATAGTTGGACCATATGATGAAATTTACTACCCTTCGATCACAGAGGTAATGTTCTAAGTATCTATTTGATGTATTTTGAATCTCATAATATGGAAAAGCCTCTTATATCATTGAAGTCTGGTCTGTTGGGTAATTTTTATGACAGGCAGGGTATTTAGATATTAGGGTGGGATTGGGACATTTTGTAAGATTTTAATATTATGTTGGTTCTAAAATATTAAGACTTGAGATGTGATTCCCTAATTCTCCCCATGTGGCATTCCTTTAAATTGATGCTTCCTCTGTAACACTGAGATTGAACAACTTTGGGATGGCAGCCTTTTGTTTGTGCTTCCCTCATGGCTCTGGCTCATGGAACATCTTATTTATCTTGTGTCCAGCTATGAGCAAGCCTTACTCTGATTATTGGTTGAATTTACATGGCTCTCTCTATGTTTCTTTATGCTGAAATAGCATTTCCAATTGTGACATCTAGCTGACCCTATTCACAGCTATAGGATGATAGAATATCATTATTGATTCCAAAATTGTGTATGAAAACTCAAAGTGTAAATGTTTTTATTTTGTTGACAGTGGTAGCAATATTTTCATCTGTCAGTCATGAATTGTTTCCATAGTAAATTCCAAGAGGAATCAGATATGTAAAGAAATTCTTTTAGCTGGAGTATGGATGCACGATTTTATGCTATTATACATGGTGGGCCAGTAAGAAGTTCAACCTTTTTTGCAATTCAGTGCTACATATGTTTCAATTAAGATCTGCTCATGCAATTTGGATGATCATTTAGTACTTTTCTTCCTTGATATGATGCATTTCATTTTGCAGAAATACAAAAAATATTTATTGCACAATTTTTTTTGTCACAAGGTTGAAAATCATTGTTGTGCAACATGGCTTTGTTTTAAATGCTAGGCTAAGCTTCCTTCTTTGCCAAAGCCAAATTACATGAGCATGAATATCATGGTACAGATGAAGTGATCAAATAAAATGGTGAAATATTTTTTTGCCCTGGTGTGAATTTTTACAGGGAATAATAATAAAAATTTGTTGTTAATGTTTGAGGGGTACATTGAAAATGTATTCCATATTCATATGGATGATAGTACTGCAAAGGGAGGATATGAATTTGGTTCAGGTTTAGTTCAATCAGGGAAGCAAGAACAAGAGGAGCAAATAATTATTCTCAAAGAAGTCCTTTGATTCTCAAGTTTAATGAGTTGGAAAAATTGTCAGTGCTTTCATGTGACACTCATATTTACATGGCTTTCCTAAATGGATGCCAAAGGGGATATCTTTTTCCTACTCCATACTTAGTCAACTTATCAAGCATCCAAAACATGAGGGTGTAATAATGACCATCACATTAGGTGAATGGAAAGACTCAACTCATTCTTGATTTCCCTATTGAACTTGGCCTGTATTACATTTTGTGAGGCATCAGAATGGGTCTCATGTTTCCTTATGTTTATTTCAGCAATTAGATTATGAAGTGGAGTTGGCATTTGTCATCGGGCGCCAGGGGAAGAGCATCAAGGAGTCAGAAGCAATGGAGTACGTGTTTGGGTACACTGTTGCCCAGGATGTGAGTGCTCGAGACTGGCAGATGAAGAAGAATGCCCGACAGTGGCTTTTGGGAAAGTGCATGGATACGTTCTGTCCTATGGGCCCAGTCTTGGTGACTCAGGATGAAATTCCCGATCCTCACAACTTGGGCATACGGTGTAGGGTGAATGGGATTGTGAAGCAAGACAGCAACACCAACAATCTCATCCATCGAATACCTGCACTAGTTGCTTTTGCCTCCAAGTAAGTCAGTTTCCCTCCCAGCCTAGCATATTTGAGGAAAATTCCTTTCATTAGCATAGCAGTGATGGTTTTGATAGAAAGAGCATAAAATTCACAGGAGAAAAAACTGGCTTTGATGTCTGGGAAAATGGGAGAAAAATTTATTCCATGCCATTTAAATATTTCTTGTTGTATAGTGGTGATTTATGATCTTTCTGAGTACAGTCATGATGATGACTTCACCCATTCCAAAATTGTCTTTCAGATTCTTCACCCTTCTCCCTGGTGATGTTTTTATAACTGGAACACCTCCTGGAGTAGGTATATTCAAGCAACCACCTGAACTTCTAAAGGTTTGTTACCAGTACCAATTTTTAAGTTTGATGGTATACCTCTGGTGCATCATGCACTCTAAGCCCTTCATTCCCTTGTGTTGGCAGAAAGGAGACATTGTGGAGAGTGAGATAGATGAAATTGGTTGTCTGAGGAATAAAGTTGTTTGAACCATGGCCAAGTGTTCATGGTTCAAACACTCCTTCATACAGATGCTCAGGTTGCTTCTGATGATGGATGAAATTTAAGAAGGGTAAGATGTACAAGCCACAGAGGAACCTCAAAATACTCCCAGGAATGTTTGTCTCCATTTATGGCATTTAAGGTTACACAACTATCTTGCAGTACTGCATCCATTGCTGTGATGGTCACAATGATCTGAAATCTCAAAAAAAATTTTATCTGTCACTTTTAATACTGCTCATCCAGTGAATATCTTCACCTCAATTTCAAGGGGTGGTTTCTGCTCGTGAAGTTCATGTTTGCTTATTGTCATTACTCATTAAGAAAAAATCTGTAGCTTTCCTGACCCCTTAGGGCATCATAATAAAACATTGGTGGAAATGCCTCTTTGGAAACTCATTATTGACATTGTGGGAGCCCCATCACCAATATAAACATCCCATTGTGCCAATTTTTTAATGTCACTAAATGTCTCTGACCACAATGAAGCCATTTTCACAAAGCTTTCTCTCTGCTCATATAAATAAGATTTTAACCAATTCTCACATTTTCATCCTAATTTATTGGGCCAAAGTGATACTATCAGCAAATATGGAAAATAAGTTTGACATTGAGAACGGACAAGGGCTCCTGCTGGTAATGGAATGGAAGAAACACTTGAGGCACTATCCCTCTTGATTATCAAAACAAGTGTTAAGCACTATTTAAATTCATTCTTTGGGATGGTTGTCTTTACCATATAGGTAGATTGAAAAATTTTCATGAAAACTGCTCCATTTTGAGCAGATATATTAAGATTAAATGTCATTGGTATTTTTTTGTGCCACACCCTGAATAAAACTGCTGGCTTCATGATTTTGAAATGGTCTGCATTGTGTGATACAGGAATGGAAGGAGACAATTAATTTTCTGGCTAAAGGTTCTGGGAGCAATTTTTATTTAAGGCAATCATGAAAAGAAGGCACCACAGAGCAGAATGAAATTGATGTATACGTTTAATACAAAAAAGTTTTGAGTACACAAAAAACTGGCTGATGCTGTAAGTCTGCAGCAATGTTGCAGGCTTGAACAAAATATCACAATCCTGCAGTTGCAGGAACTGGGAAACCTGGTAATTCTTGGATGTCAACACTTCTGCATTCCAAGACTTATCATCTCCAGAAGCATCCATAATTGCAATTCTTGCCAGATTCCCAGGTAGCTTCTCAGCCCAGAGTGGTTGCTTTCATTTCTCCTTGTCATCTATCTAAAGAACTTCGAGGGCTAACTCTCACATCTATAGGGTGTTTTGTCAGAGAAAGGAAAGTATGACAGGATTTGAGGAATAACAAAATCTCCAGGAAATGTCTCAGTGTAGGTAATTATTACATTACACATGGCAAGCATGACTTGATTTCACCAAACTGAATTATTTGCAAGCAGCAACTGCTAGGATCATGGAGAAAGGAAAAGGAATTAACACTACCAGTATTACCTGTCAGTTGGTCCAAGTATTGTATGATGGTGTTGGTCTAGATCACTCCACGTCAATGTTGACTGCTTTCAGGGCATCTACAGCCCACTGAGGATAATTTCTCAGAGGCCAATTCTTTCGCATAAATGACATTACATATTCAGGAAAGGTACCAGCTGATATATTTTCTTGGATATTTCTCATCAACTTCATCTGCAAATACAGCCAATAGATGTTCTCCATGTCACTGTGCACCTCAAAGTTTATAAGGTAGGAAACAGATCACAGAGAGAGTGAGAGATTCAGCACCATTGATTTGGTCATTCCATTAGCACCTCACATGTACCCATGCAGTTACCAGAGTCCAATATATTCAGATGATGGACAATTCTTCAAATTTGAAGCTGACCAGCAAGAGCTTGTACAGGATCCCATAAAACGGTAGCTTCCCTCTCTACAGTGGCATCCATTGTTGGTAAGACATCACATATGTTTTATGTTGGGTATGTTAAATCAAAATGATATTAGAGACAACTGATTTAGTAGTTGGTGACAGCAGTAAAGGACAATGGATTGTTTGCAATTGTGCTGGGTTTTTCCAAGTGAAAAAAGATGCTGGTGCAATTTTCAGTATTTTGCTCCCTCTTGAAATCCTACTCTGTTGCCACAGGGACTGGATGTGTCCACCAAACAGCTGTTTTTGGTCTTATTTTGAGTGTCTCAGAAATGGCTTTGGCTTGCTCCTCTGTGCGACCAGTTCTTGGCCTACCACTTCCTCCAGCATTAAGGACTTCATCAGTGGTATCAAACATCAATCCAATAGCTGCAGTGGCTTTCTGTTCTGGGGTGCAATGCCCAAAACTTTTCTGAAACTGCTGCTGGCCTTCTTTAACATTTTCTTACTTAGTGTACCATTTCACTATTTGTACACTTTCTTCAATGCTAGGTCAAGATCTCCCAGCCATCCTTTCTAAAATCACTTTCCCATTTCCACACATACACATACACATGCCAAAAATCAACACTTTGAGTGAATTTGATCAGGAGCTATATGCTGACAAACAATGGGTAGTTTCTTTTGGAACACCCTGTATATTGTATGCTCAGGTCATAGGCAACTTAAAGCTTGAATAAAATTATCATTTTTTATAAATAAGAATTGGAAAGGAGCAGCTTCATTTAATTTGCTCAGTAAATCAAAACCCCACATTAGATCCATCAATCAAGCCCAGCATTTGATCTATGACCCCACTCAGAAATAATACTCTCAAATTTAATCTCATTTGTCATAGAAGCATTAGGCCCACCATGAGGATCATAAAACTTGAGGGAAAAAATTAAGAGCTAAATGATGGTCATCAGTCTTTCATGATGAAACAGTCCAGTACTTGACTCCCTTAGGGCTTTCATGGTCTTACCCAAATCAATGAATGTGTGGCAACTGGAGTGTTAGGGTGATTTACTCAAGGGTAACTCCCTTAGGTAACTATATAATAGCCAATAAGATGGGTTCAATTCTGTTGTCATGGTCTACGTGAGATACTGTAATTCTTCTGAAAGTCATCTTAATAAAGATGAGACTATAGCAACAAGGAGAATAAAATGAAATTTGAATGAATCTATTCCTCCTTAAATATTTTAACATGTTGTCCTGCTCATGCAATGACACATTAGCAAAGAAGACTTTCCCAAATCATAAGACATAGGACAAAGATAGAGAAGAGTCTTACCTGAAAAGCGATGTTATGGGTGGAAAGGAGATGTGAAGAAACTGATTCATCTGTGGCAATGGAATGGAGGTATGCCCTGGTATGGTTCCTACAGGTGCTACAGTTGCACTCAGGATCCAAAGGTGAGAAATCTTTGGCATACATGATATTCTTCAAGTTCAGTTGCCCTGATTCAATGAGGGCACAGCCAAACCTCTGCAGGCAAACAGAAATACATATAGGCTCAAGGGAGATGATGAGTAATTTCAAAACTCATCACTTGATTACTCAGAGATCAGTGTTAAAAGTGTATTGGAGGACTGGGGAAAACTTACAGCAGTCCGTGTTGGAAATACGCAATCAAACATGTCTACTCCCAGAGCAGAGCACACAATGAGATCAACAGCAACACCAACTCCCATCAGGTAGCGAGGCTTCTCTTTCGGAAGTAGATTTGTGCAATGGTGAACTATCTTCCAGAATCGGTCCTTTGATTCCCCTCCACTGTAAAAACAAAGCATAAAATCTAGAGAAAGAAATCCCTGGTGGACTTCAGTATGGGTGCAGATGATAGTAAAAGTTAAGGCTCCTTAGGCCACTTGTGAGAATGAGCAAGCAATGTGCTCAAGGAAAAGTCATCTTCCAAATACTGATAAGGATGGATTTATTTCAGATTTCAAATGCAAAACTTCCCAGAGCTTGGCCTGCTTGATAACATATATCACTTAGTACCTGCTCAACCAAGAATTTGCACCAACCGTGAATGCTTTTGAGAAATATCAGGATATGGGACAAGATGGTCAGCAGCAGGTCACAGGGAGCAACATGGTGTATCAAGGAATCAGATAATTAAATTTCAGATATAGAGAACCCAACAGAAACTAAATAGTTCATTTCTTGTCTCACTCTGAACAAGATGCAACAATACGGTATGCATTTAGTTCAACTTTTCTTCAGATTTCAAGTGTACTCACTGGTGTATTTTACCTGCATATATAGATGTATGCCATGTCCATCTCATTAAATTACACAAATGATAATCCGTTTCCTAGCTGTGACCCAGTCCCTGAAATGTTGCAATCTGTTTCCTATATTTTCAATCATCACATGAAAAAAGTATCTGTGGGGTAAGTTTAATTTTTAGGTACTCCTCTCAGAGAGAAAGGGGGTGCTGTGCAGAACCAGGGGGTGCAGCATAAAAGTTTGAGAACTGCTGGTGTAGTATGAAAGGGTTTCTTTAAAAGAGGTGGCACTAAAAAGCATAAGTATCAGACTTCAGGCATGCTAAAAACTAAGATGTACTTTGATGTCTGTACAACAAAGTTGTCATGATCCACTATTGCTGCAGGGAGGTCATGTCACATACCATCAAGGTCAGAGTTCAAACTGCCCAAATCAAAATTAACATTACATGCAATTTGGTACCTACAGAATACTTTGCAGATGTGAGGCTTGTGCAGCCTTTTCATTGCATTTGATTTAAATTTAGCAATTAAGAAATAACAATGGCTTCACCTAAGATCATGGGAACATTGCTGAACTGAGCTAATAGGAAAAGGCTTTTCATCCCAGCAGCACCATGGAATCTGTTCAGTGCATTACATAATCACTCTCCTGAGAGCATATTCATGCCACACATTCTGAGGTGATGGCACCATCATGAGGGTTTGTAAGATGAAATAATAATAAAATAACCAACTGTGGATGCTGGACCTGTTCTACTATCTAAATAAATAATAATAGATAAAATATCTCAGTGAATGATACCAAAATTTGGCACTAATGGTGGGCCAAAATCAGACCATGGGTTCCAATTCTTTCCTGAAGTATTGACCACAGCTGGTATCAGGTTTCTCATTTTTCCCTCTCCTCAATATATATCTGAACCTTCATCACAGGCACAAGTGAGTGTTGGCACACCAACTACAAAGCCATGCATTAAAATATGTCTGAGACCCATTTATGCAAGCTATTCCTCAGAGCACTACAACCTGTAAAGGGAACTTGAATTACACCCATGGAAAAAAAGTGAAATGTGCATGAGCTGATGAAAAGTGGATCTTTCATAAGAGCTTACCTGAGGCCACCAATTGCATAACCAGATACATCTCTCTTGAGCAGCTCCTGCACACAGATAGTCCTGAGATCTTCATGCAAACCACCCTGAACAATGGGGAACAGATTCTGTTCTGTTGGGCGCTGATTAGCAGCTAAACACCGGTCCAACCATCGAATGGTCCTAATACCAAACAGGACAAGATCAATGAGTTAAATCTGTATTATTCCTACTTGTACCTTGTATACATCTTATAAAACGAAGTCCCAGCTTACTGATATTCACATTAGCTTCCAAATGAGTGGCTAACTCAAGCCATTAAGTTTTGGTCACAGTTTAAAAGTAAGTCAGTTATGGAACAGTCAGATCATCGTATCCAATGGATGCCAATGGTCATTACCATCGATTGACCACTGATGACACCACAGATAGTTTTAGATTCTGACTCATTGGGCAGAATTTCTGACACTTTGAACAGTTCCTTGGTAATTCTTCAACCATGACTTACTTCATATTGAAGTAAAAATGCATTTGGAACTAAAATGTTGTTATATTGTAGGCATTAGATCATATTGTAGATCTTGTTAGATGATTTTACTCTGTACCACAGCAGGTCCTTCATGATAATGATAAAAGGAAAATTTTTATGCACAAGTACTATGATGAATGTGGTCACCTGGCTTTTCTTGGAAAAAGGGGCAGAAGAGAGGGATGCATGAAGGGATGACAGATCTAAGTAAATACTTAAAAAAAAAAATTAATTGGCCCCAGTGGGGAAGGTTTCACAAACATATAAATATGGGGAGCAGAAGTGGCCATTTGAACATTCAACATTTAATGAGAAACATTCAATATTTATATGACCTTGAGAAAACTCAAGAATTTCTGAAAATACCAAGAAGATCCTTTTTTCCCAAATACAGTGAAAACTCGTTAACTCGAACTTTTAGGGACCGGGCAAATCGTTTCGAGTTATCCGAAGTTCGAGTTATCAGGAATCGCCCCCCCCCCC